AAGGGAGGGAGGGTTGACGTTGGACGGGTGGAGAAGGGCGGTATTTGGTACGAATGCAATTTAGTCGGCAGTGTTATGAAGATAAGGGAGGGAGGAGGGAGGGAAGGCGAGGAGGGAGGGGAGGGAGGGAGGGAGAGAGAGGGAGGGAGGGAGGGGGGGGAGCGGAGGAGGAGGAGAGGAAGAGAGGAGGACAGGAGAGAGGGGAACAGAGAGGGAGAAGGAAAGAAGAGGGGGAAGGAAGGAAAGAGAGGGAGGAAGGAAGGAAAGAGAGGGAGGAAGGAAGGAAAGAGAGGGAGGAAGGGAGGAGAGAGGGAGGGAGGAAGGGAGGAAAGAGGGAGGAAGGGAGGAGAGAGGGAGGGACGAGAGAAGAAATGAGAAAAGGCAACAGAGGAAGGGATGAGGGGATTGAGTGATTGATTGTTAGTGATTCCGGGCGTGTCAACTGGGAAGGTCAGAGTAGCCCATGATTTTTTCCCTCTAGATGACGAGATCCGGCGCCGACCTACCGTCAGCTAGCGGGATTTGCCCAATCAAGTATCTTCCGCCACCAGTGCACCGGCCCATCTAAGCTCCCGACTTGTCTCCCGATTGTGTGTGGTAGTGTGGTGTATGTTAGTGTTAATGTAAAAGGTAGGGATCGGATAAGGAAGAGGAAAGAAAGGTCGCGCGCGGTCCGTGGCCTGTTTATTGGGGTACTGCTCCGGCAATCGCCGGGTGATGATTGGAGAAAGCACGGAACACTACCGATCAGAGGATCCGGCCTCTAGAATTCTCCTCCAGACGGCGACTGAACTCGTCCCAGCAGACAAGTTAGTGTCGTAAATGTGGGACTCGAAATTAGGACCTCCCGGTCAGATGCATTGCTGTGACATCAGTTCATCAGGTCCTGAGACCCCTCTCCCGATGTGGAAGAGGGAGGGTAGAGAGAGAGGGGGGGGAGAAAAAAAGAGGGAAAAGGGGATAGAAATATTGAGAAAAGAGGGATGGAAAAATAAAGAGTGAGCGGGAGGGGAAGCAGAAGAATTGGGTGATTGACAGAGGGGTAGAGGGGGACAGGGCGAGAGGAGGAAGAAAGGGAGAGAGAGGGGAGAAAGGAAGATAGAGGCAGAGGGGAAGAAGATAACATATGAAAAAATACGCGCGAGAGAATCGAAAGGGAAAATGAAAAACGAGAAAAAATGCGCTCGGGTCGTGGGTGGGCGGGCGGTCCGCGCCACCGCAGGGCGATGACTGGCGTGTGCCGGACACCCGCGGCGCACGCCTCAGCGCCCGCCGCACCCGCACCCCCCCCCCACTCGCGGAGAAGCGACGAGGCAGCCGGCACGGGATCTCTTTGTAAAATCAATAAACAGATATGAGTCCCAAACACAATTGCCTCAACCATGAAGGAATGCCTTTATCCCGAAATATATCTCGTGCGAAATGACAACGACCGGAAATTCCTGGCAATGACATTGGTGATTCACAAGGCGTCTTGATTGGTTTCAAACTATTATCGACTTCCAATATTCAATTTTTGGGTATATTTTCAGTAGTGACTGCACAATGAACCGGACTCATGCGAATTCTACAGCACGAAGACCAGATAGAGATCCTTCCAGTAAGACCAGTGCAAGAAAAAATCACATTGAACAATGGCTCCGGCGAATTGCAACAGTCCAAATATAAGCAGCAGTATCGCCATGAATCATTGCAAACAGGTTGCTTGATGTAGAGCTTAGGTCGCGATTTTTCATAAGTTGAGGGTATCTTTGACGCCACAACACAAACACCAGATAAATGGTCTGATGTATGACGTTCAGGGGTGTTTAGGGAGCAGTATCGATTCTGAGAATGTCAGAACGATGACAGCATGTTTGTTGAGGTATTGGTATGACATCTGACGAACAGGTATGATTGGTAATGAGTTTTGAAGGCTTTTCGTTTCATTACTATCCGAACGAGAGTATGTCCATGTGCAAGGAGGTCAAACCATTTTTTACTCGTCTTGAATTTTTTTTATTTCTGAAGGGGCTACATATTCAGTTATTTAATACATGCTACTTGATGCTATTTAGTACAGAACTTGACACAAACTGGCTTTAATGGTTCAACACTTTCTTCCTTAGTGTACTTGTTCGCAGTCTAACACGTGCTGTACGAACAAGGATCTGCTAGGTCGAGGTAGCAGTTTGTGTGGTATAAAGCAGATAAGAATTTGGGAATGTTTCAGTTCGACAGAAGTCACCGCCCAGGTTGCGCTCACTCCACGAGCACGCGCTTCCTCTCCGCCGTCTCCACTTGTGTTGCGGCATATGGCGTGATTTTCCTGTAAATCATGTACCGTCCCTGAATCGCAATCCTTCCCTTACCCAACGCGGTAAATAAATCAACGAGGATAGAAGGTGTGCGACACAACAGGTCAATGAGCTACTACAGTGAGCATCATTTAGGTGTATCCAGAGTACCTGCCGTTAAACCTTGGACGGGCTCACTCGCCATACTGTTTCCGAAAAAAGGGATGAAGGACTTAGACCGTCATGGGCTTACGAGCAACCCCGCGGCAAGGAGTTTAAGTAAAATCTGTCACTAACTTAGGAAGTCGATCCTTTCAGGTGGGGGGTTGACAAAAATTAAGAATCAAAATCTGTAACTTGTTTGCAATTACCAACTCCCATTGCATGGGAGCAAATATTTATTTTAAACAACTTTTGAAAATACTGCTAGTTGATATTTGTATTCATAATTCAATTTCATATAGTATTTGAGTTAGGATTAAATTTTCAGACCTCAAAATGCGCAAGATAGCACTTCTCCTCCACATACTTTAACAGTCACATATCGTTTTTACTGTTTTCGACAAATAAACGAAAAACCACTGTTTGCACATGGAAATACGCCGCAGTGGAAGTGATGACCATAGAAAATGGAAGATGAGACTTATTCCTCACAGGAACCATAGGGGATTAATTTATTTTTACGTGACGGAACGGTTTATGGAGAGGGACTGTTTCAATTTTACGCTAAACAGTTATTGGTCGCTCCCATGCAAAAGAAAAGCCCATAGTTTGTTAAAAAATACGTCTGTTTGAATTGCGCCTCTCCGGTTGAATCCAGGAGGATCCGCTTATTGTCGTTGGCTTTCCAAAGATCTGCTGATTATAACGTCATTTCCCGATTGTTGATATCTTCATTTGTTAATTAGCTTTGCGGCTTTCAGTGCAGTGCCATTTTTTTCGTTTGGCGGATTTCAAAACAAATGACCTGAAAGAGCAATGACTTACTGTGAAATTTTGTATCAAACTAGGGAAATCGGTGACAGACTTTTGCTACGCTTACGGAGAAGCGCTTACGGACCACGGCTTACGGAGAAGTTGCTATGAAACATCAGACCCCAATCGCCGGATGCGTACGTCACCTGATCTGACTTTTCGCTGCATTGCACGCCACGTGTGCGCGTCCCCCAGGAATCCCCGACGCCCCTATCAGCGTGGTGCCGTCTGGAACTTGGTCCAGAATGTTCGAGAATCTTTTAAACCAACCAATTCCAATTGTCAAATACATGCCCTTCCATTCACTTTCTAAGCCCTCGTGCCAGCAACGAAAAGAAGTAAATACAGATTGGAAGAGACCTTCGCTGAAAGTGCACGCGTGTTCGTGTTCGACATAAACCTTGTGTCTTCGGACAATGAAGTCCTATTAGGCAATTGCATTTCATATCTTAAGCTGAGTGGTATTTGTAACAGGATAAATTGTGATCAATTTCCCTAATGCTACCTCAAGTTAAACCTTTACTAGGTAGTTGAACAGTAGCTGCGTGCCGTTCACATGGTTTGCGTGAATTGTGCTGTGCTTTCCCAGACTTCCTAACGCGTGCGAGTGTGCGCATTGCCTTCTTCCACAAGAACATTTCACCTGCCTTCGCGGGCACTCTGTATAAGCCTGCGTACACTTCAGATGCTTCAAACCATTGTTACGTAATGTATAATGTACGAAGTATACCGCAGAACAAATACCAACCATTTACCCATTGAGTTATGAAGTGTGTCTACCTTACTACTAATCCAATCTCTATCATAGAATCCACTCAATTTTAATAAGGGCAAAGCGAAATCAGTTATGAAGGAGACACTTGCATCTATCAGAGGGAAGAATAATTTTGAGTAAAAATTGTTGATTATCTCAATTTACAGCTCACGCTCAGCAACCGAGAAAAGGTCCGGTACTTGTCTCGTGGAACGTGGTGTCAAACTGGACGTTGCCTGTGGAGGAGAATGACGCACGCGCTTGTCTGTACAGATTGCGTGCAGTCTGGTCAGTCCCTTTGGTGTATCGAAAAAAAAAAAATTGACAAAAAGGATTGTGTGCAGCAGGCTTAACCCTACATTACAAAATGCGCCCTCTACCAAGCATTATTACAAAGACTTAGTCTGACAGATTACTTTGGGCCAAAATAAAGAAAAACTTTTACAATTAAACACTACGCTGATTGAACGTAAGGGGTTAGAAAATACCTTTTAAATGGTTTTTGGAGGTATCCCTAAATGACTTCACTCTCACAGCAGACACTTGCTTGGTGCTGAGCACACATGGCTTTTGAGAAGCGTCTGCAGAAGTATCTCATCACACGAACTTTCTTATAATCACGATCGTGCCATTATGATTGCTAAATGTTCAGAATAAAACTTAAATACTACAAGACAAGGATTTTGTGTTCATTATTTACCAAATTAGCCAAACTAGTGCCAAAAATATCACTGAGGTACCTAAAGGCGTAGTCTATTGGACGACACGTGTTAAAAGTGTATACCGGAAATAGGCACACACACAGCGATACGTGTTTTTCACTGGCTAGTCACACAAGGAAGGTGCACAGAGTTTGAGAACCGGCGAGTGAGGGGAAGGGGCGGGGGATGATTGGGCACCGCCTGACAGCCGCCGCGTTTGCAGTCTCGGGTCGAGGAAGCGGGGAGTGCACTCACGTATTCGGGCTTCATCTTCTTGTCGCCGCCGCGCAGCACGGTGCGCTCCATCTTGTCGAGGTGGCCCAGCAGGTACTCCTCGTCCTTGAGGCGCAGCTCCTCGCTGATGATGTCCAGGTCGCGCACGGGGTCCACCTCGCCCTCCACGTGCGTCACGTCCGGGTCGTCGAACGCGCCTGCGCAGCGCAACCACACAACCACACGTGAGATTAAGTCAACACTTGCTCTACGCATTGAAGTACACAAACGGGATCAATATTTGGAGATGTCTCTTAAAATTTCAACACACTGTAATAATACATTTAACAATGATGTAACTAGTAATAACGGCGCTAAAGCAAACAATGGAATTATGCCTCCTCTTACTCTTTGGATCTTATTTCCCATAACACGCATATTCCTCAACGGAAACGACCAAAGAATCAGGAAGGATTGCTAGATAATAATGAATTGGACTTTTATTGTCTAGCAAAGATATACCAGCTTCGCCAGTGCGAACATTCTGCACTTCGTGAAACATTGTTTTAAAAGAGAAAATAGCCACACATTGGATCCTAACTTCGTCGGCGAGCCTCGAACTCATGTGTGGCAACAATTTAATATTGATAAGGGTTGAAATTATCCAGAAAATCAAATAGCCGATTTCATTTCATAGCGGAATATTTTTTCTGTCTCTATTCCTTCAATTTCATTTTATATAGATTTCTGATCTCTCATGCTACGGAATAAGAATTTACAGAAGAACTAAATTTCCTACAATGTGGGTTCAGAAAGGTCTCAATTTGAAGAATCCTGTTTAACGTAACTCGGACCCAACCTATTCTCCTCTGGCCGTACACGCCATTATCCCACCCGCCCCACATGATCACTATCAGTTCCTTCACATATCCCCCCAGAACCTGTGTCCGTCGCGATTCGAAGAACTGCTTTTAAGTGCATGGGACACATCGTTTCCGAATTATGCGCAATTTGAATTTGTTCCCAACGTCAGAATCTGAACCTTCTACTAGGGACCTCCGCAGCAAACATCTGGTTCGTGCACCCATGCTGACTGCTGTTCATCGGCGAGGAATTCTGGAATTCGCCGACGCCAATTCCGCAACTGGACGTCCACCGAGCGGCGACAAGAGGTCTTTTCAGATGAATCACGTTTTCTGCTACATCGGTCGTTGACGTACATGGCGTGAAACGTCAGCACGCAAACAATCGCCGGACGGGTACAAGTCGGAGGAGGGAGCGTCACGGCATAGGGAATGTTTTCGTCGCTTTCCCTACGTGATCTCGTCATTCTGGAAATCACCATGGCAATAAACGTATGCAGTCTTGGGAACCATGACCCTCCAATGTGCACATCGGTTTTCCTCAGCAAGACGGCATTTACCAGCACGACATGTTTCAAAACATCCATGTTTTTAAATTTAATAGCATCTAGTTGTAATTTTGGCGCGGAGAAAAATTGAATTCTGTACAAGTAGTCATGTTGAATGTCTAATTAAGATTTAACTGTCAAAAAAGTAAAATAAATATTTACTTTCAACATACATAACTTTTATTGTAATTCTTTTATTCTACCAGTTTCACGTCCTCGTGAGGAACCGAGTCTGCACGCGTCATCGCAGGGGTTCAGAGCTTCCTCAGTTCGAGGAAAAAGGGAACGGAAAGAAGGGGGTACGCTTACCGACCTACGTCATGACGCCGCATACGTAGACGCCTTTCCGCGTGATATCAGGGGATCTGGGTCATCGCTCAGCCAAGAGATGCTCTGCTTTGCTCGACGAAGGCCCGTTACGTTCGAACACGTGAATCACCAGTGACATGTCAATACTTTATCTTTTACAAAATCGTGATTATTTTACTGTTTCAAAATCGAAAACATAAAAACATCGAGCTCTAAACATTGATGTTAAAAAATCTTCGGCTCTGAAACATCGATGTTATTTTTTACAAAAACCTCGATGTTTTCAAACATCAACATGAATGACGCATCCCTAGAACCTATCGCAGCTGGCCACAGCACAGGCGTCGGCATGGCCCCACATCCCTGTCGGAGCCATCAATAATAATAATAATAATAATGTCTTTATTAATGGCGAGGCTCAGGCCATAGGGCCTGCTCATCCGCCCAATCACAAATCTACTCGACTCTCTTTCTGCACTTCTCTCAGTGGTCAAATGGGAGGGGGGTGCAGTATTCTGACGCGTGGTCACATTAAAGAGAATGTACAACACTTCCTTTATTCGCCAAGAATATCAAAGTAGTTGCTTTTCCATAACGCAGCAAAAGAGCAAATACTTAAGTGCGGGCAGCTCTGTTCTTGGAGCCATGGTGTGAACAGCTGTATCGTAAGCAGTGACGCACTGAGTATAAGAAGTACGAGTACGAGAATCGGCGGAACAACACAATCAAATATTGCCATTTTCTAGTCAAAGTAGAAACCGCTTAATTGTTTCTGAATTATTTTTCTTCGAGTTCGTGAGTGTGGAATGAAACCACAAATATTTCTTACATGACTGGAGGATCATTCTTTTCTTTCAATTTCAGCGCTCACTGGAAATCAGTAATATATTTAAAGATATCATTATCGACCAAGACCTTTAAAATGTTACTGTACTTGAGACAATCAAGTAGAATAACTCATTGCAAAATAAGGGGTATTGATTTTTTAGCTTGAATGAAAGGTACTAAATTGTCTTCTCAAATTTCTCACAAACAGTACGACTAAATAACTTCGAACAGAAGATCGGTGAATTAGTAGATATAAATAATTAATTCTCCCTTTTATCAATCGAAATAAATAAAAATAAAACAAAAAATCCAAAGTGGTAGTGATATTTAAAACGAATTTCTGTGAAATAACAGTTACTTTTTTAAATTGTTATATAGTTTCTTTACTTTAAACGATCATCGAAACCCTAACCCACATGAGTAACATTGTTGTTTACAATGGAATATATTCATACTACCACGCTCAATTAAGAAATATTAGTCAAGTAGCAACCTTAAACATGATCGTCCTGCCAGGGAGAAAGCCGTGATAACGCTGCTTTAGAGCGAACACAATGCCCTTTTCTGCCTTCTTGCGCGGCGGGCGTTCGAAGTGGCAGCGATGGCGACGACAGGCGAGGGGGGAGGGAGAGGGCGGTAGCGGGGGGTGGGGCGGGCAGGGTTCACGCGGCCGCCATGATGGCGCGCGCGGGGGCGGTTCCCGCGCACCGCACGCCCACTCTCCGCGCCGCCCCCGCCCCCCACCGGACGCGCCGATTAAAACATGGCGGGCAGCCCCGCGCCGCGCCGCACCACACCAGACCAGCGCCTCCGCTAGGGCAACACGGCGTCGGACCAGGGAGTGAAAGAAGCAACGAGCACACGCCTGGGCAAGTTAGCAAATGTTCACTTCCATTAGGAGTGAGGGGTGTACGAGGAGGGTTTTCTTGAAAATAAACTACTTTTTAACTAACGCATTATGTATTATCTGAGAGTATTCACATTCTACGCAATTAGTAGATTCCTTGCAATTCAGAATGTAGTTAGAAGTTTCCCAAACGATTACTTGCAAATATTTCTCAAATGAATATTATTGGCAAGTTGAGACAAAAAGTGGCAGGGATGGAGAATGAGCCAGAAGCAATATTTCAGAATTTAATTAGGAGCAGTGAAGAGTATTAGTGTAAGGAAGGAGTCCACAAATTAAGATGAAATATTTCATCACTTTCTCTGACAAGGATGAATCGAAGAACGTTGAACAATAGTAGCGTACGTCGTTCTTTATTGGTTTTTTTTTTCACTTTCGCTCTGCAGAGAAGCCAAGAAAAGTAAATGGAGGGTTTCCCTTTCTCATGAGTCATAAAATTCCTTTTTACACCGACCTTCAACTAATTAAGTATTTTCAACAAAGACAAGTCAAATGATCCTTGAAACATATATCTAAAACAAATCTCATGAAAAAATCTCTCATAAAATCCACGAGATGTAATTAAAAAACACATGATATGATTTTAATACAAATATCTCATTGAAGACAATTTCTAAGACGCATTGTAATAGAAATGCAGGATAGAAAGAGCCTATCATACAACTAGTTACGCTGTTTATCCACACTACACCATGAACTCTCTGTGAATAGTGAGACAGAGACTTAACGAAGAATTGAGCGAAAGAAAGCGTTTGTTTACCCTGCTAAATAAAAATAACCAATTGTACCAATAAACTTAATACAATTCAATTGTTAAAAATTGGTACGTAAAATATTTGTTTTTACGTCTTACACAATTTTAATACACTGAAAAATCAAAATCAGTATGTTTTGTAAACATTCCTTTTGAGAAATGCATGAGAAGTTATGGATTCCTCGTGCAGCAAAGTAAATACTCGTAGTACCGCACCCTTCTATCTTCCATTTCTGCGCAATGTCCAGAAATTATCATTCGATGAAAACGCAGCTTTCTTATGGCTCCTTTTTGTGGCATGTCTAACGCGGCTGCCATTACACGATTAGTTTCACGAGGCTCACACCACCTTGCCAACGCCAGCATAGTTAAAGAATCGACGACTTTCACCAACAAAACGTGTCCCGCTTGCCTTAACGTAAATTCATTAAGACAGCATACGGACGAATTGATGTCCAACGAAAATTCTTCAATGGAAATTGACGAATTTATTTGTTATACGTTGCCTTGGCAAACTTTTCAAATGTCCAATAATGTCGTTTTTTCCGTTAGACATAGAAATTTTTTCTCAGTTCAAACTTGCCACAAGCTACCAGCATGTATGCAAAAACATGAGTTCTCGAAGGTGTTTACATCTATTGAGAGGAATATTTCTGTTTCCAGAACGATCATTCTTCATCAGCAATCATTCCAGACGCATGTAAACTGTAGATCTTCTCCCATTAAACCTTGTCTCATTAGTCAATATTAATGTTGCTTGAATGACTAAGCACTTTTAACTCGTATTTGAATGCGTAATATTTCTATTACTATGTCGAATCACATGATGCGAGACATGAATAACACACGTCAAGCTGAACAAGCATATGATGTGTCGAACAGACAAATAAGAATACTCAAAATCGTTGATGGAAACTATTAGAATTCATCATGTTTTTGTACTAAAAGACACATAGGCCAAACCCCTCAATGCATGCGAATAACAACAGACAAAACAATGTGCGTCTCT